GTGTGACCAACGACAGAAGACAAGAACCAAACGAATGACGAGGAGAAAACACAAAAAAAGTTGAATCCACAACAGGCACGTGAAAAACGTCCTCAGAAAACAAAAGTAATCTAAACAAGCAGTAGAGAAATAACAGTGAGAACAGCAAAAAAACATTAAAAACAGCCTCAGACGGGAAAGTATAAGAAAATACAGCACTCCTCCCAATGAATACAGAAAATAATAAGCGTCCTACTACCATTGTTCCTTGTGGCAAAATGCCAAGTGGTTTGGCGTGTTGCTAAGACGAAAAATAGTGGCGGTGATCTCACGTGAATTCCCAATCTACACCAGCAGCACTTGTGTTTCTGTCGAAGTCCCGTAGACGAACACTTAGAAGTATAGAAAAACTAGACATGTGAGAGCTTCCACAAATAGCGCTTTGGCTATGTAGGCAAGTGTCCGGCCTGCGGCTGCGCGGGCGGATACAAAAAGCTTCTTGGCTATCGCTGCCCTCCAACTGCTCCTTCGAGCAGTGAACGTGGCACGCTACTGCAGTTGCGGACTAATCTCTCTCACGCATGGCCAGGACCAAGAGTCGCAGAGGTGAGGATGCAGTCTATCTTTGAGCAACCGATTGCAAAACCAGACGGATTGCCAGGCTGAGGACGAGCTGCCCTCGTTTCAGCATGGTCCGGCTTTGCCGCCAGCATGTCAAAGAATGGTGGGGAGTCCGAGCTGGACCTCCACATGCTCTGTGTACATGAGATGCTCTCACAGTGAATGGCGCATGCATTATTATCAAATAACTCTAAAAACCGTTCCATATACTTGTTTGAAGCGATAGCAGAACGCTTCTAGAAGAGAGCTCATGAATCTACCGCAATTTCAAAAGCGTTCTCGATTTCCCTTCAAGAATCCTCCGATTAGACTTTTTGATCGTAAGGCAACAATGACTTCAATGCAATGGTAACAGTGCACTTCGCATTCGTGAGCATCACCATTCGTTGCAAGTCCGTCATGCGATTCCCTGACCATTGAAACATCAGTAGCAGTTCAGAAGTATATATGGTTAACCACTGAAACCAAATGAACCTCGTTTCACTGATATCGGAATCGCGATGAAGTGTGTGCTGAGTTCTTATTAGTCTAGCAGCTAAAGCTCTAAGGTAACAATGAAATGGTACTGCATTGCCCTTAGTGCGACTGCTTTGCCCCTATTGTAACCGCTGGTTGCACCTTATCTCCCTGACTGGTCCTGCTTACATGACGGTATCATCTGCATTGTCATCAGCTACCATTTGTCAATGTGAAAACTGTGTGAGCACTATACTGTAAATCCCGGAAGCAGTTGGGAGAGTCGGCAGTAGAAGAATATTTATCACTCGAACAAACATAACAAAGCGCTGGGTTTTTATACCCCCACAAGATCATGCTTTGGGCGGCAAAATCCAGGATGACTCGCCTCTCAATAAGGACTGGCCAACCTCCCACCGTATCATTGAGCAACAGTGATCATCGATTTGATCTATCCAACACATTCCTCCCCCCACCCCTTGAAATGGACACTAAAATGTGCGTCTTCTTCCTGTGGGTGCGATCAGCCGAGTCCGTTTCGCGTGCATGGCGTGCTTCAGCATCTGTGTTCAGTGGTCATCTGTCTGCAGGCTAGAGGGCGTTGATTGCTATATGACTTGTAGGTTAGTGGCGGTAGTTCTGGTCGTTGATGGCCGGCGTTGAGCATGGTAGCAAGGGTAGATCGATGGGTTCGGCCTCTTGTTATGCCTTCTTTTACATGACCAGTCGTCCGTCGTGGTGTTTCTGAACGATAATCCATTGTCCAGAATAAGTCACCCATGCTGAATTCCTTCTGTCATGTTCCATGGTGGCGATTGTATTGATTTTCCGTTTTCTTATTCAATCGTTTTGAGCGGCTCCAGAAGGCTGGGTGATAAAAAAAAAAAAAAAAAAAACACAAAAAAAAAAAAAAAATGATACGCGGATCTTTCTTTCGAGAAAAGCGTCAGCTGGTGATTAGCCCTCTGGCGTCGAAAGGCAAGGGTTTTGGCGGTAGTTCACTAGAAATGTTTGCAACGCCCCACTCGGCGATGGCTTTTCCTTCATTTTCGCAAGAATCCTTTCAGTATCTGTGAAGCGTTCTGCCTGGCCGTTAGATAGCAGGTGAAACGATGGCGGCTTGATAAACCCTGTACTGTTCTCTTTGCAAAACTCGCTGAAGTCGTTTGACGTAAAGTGAGGTCCATTGGCCGTTAGGAATGTTTGTGGATTTCCGGCTTGGGGAAATCTTGGGAAGTGTCGGTGCGATTCTCTGATTCTTATGTTTATCGTCGTTAATGACATTTCAGCGATTTCGAGCCATTTTGGAAGACACCAACGACAATGACGTACATTTTCGCATCCGTCGGTCCGGAATCGGCGTGTTTGCGATTCCACGGTTTATCCTCCATCAGCCCGAGCAGGTCGTTGCTCTGACAAAATTCTTAGCAGTTTCCTGGCAGCGGCAGCAAAATTCGACAAAGTCTTCGATGTCGTTGTTGATGTTCATCCAGTACGCGAAATTCCTGGCGAGCATCTTCATCCGTGTCATTCCTGGGTGCCCATCGTGAAGTTCGCACAGTACGGCGTCTTCGTAAGGTTGCGGGAATGACGAGGCGATCTCCAAAAAGTAGACATCCATTTTGTGTCGAAAGCGGATCTTCTTAGGGAGTTGAATCGGCTTGCGACATCTGACTTCCTTGGCCACTTTCCATCTCTGATCCACTCGAAAACATCTTTCGGAATGGGATCCTTGAAGGTTTCTTCTGCTAGTACTTGAGCGTCGACTGGTAGTTTCACAGTTGCGTTGACGAAAATAGTCGTCGCATCCATCTCGATCGCTGCAATGACTTGGTCTTCTTGGGTTGTAGATTGCTCAGCGATGAGGCGCGATAAGACGTCTGCTTGTCCGAAACTGGTGCTGCTCCGGTATTCAATACTGAAGTCGTAACTCTTCACTATGAGGGCCCAGCGTTGCAGTCGATTCGGTGTAGACAGGCACTCCTTTCTTGCTCCCGAAGATGGCTAGGAGTGGCTTGTGGTCGGTTAAAGTTTGAAATGACGTCCGAAAATGTAGCGATTGAACTTCCGCAGAGCCCACGTTATAGCCAGTTTCTTTTTCGATTTGACCATAGTTCTCGGCAGCTGTCAGGGAACGGCAAGCATGGTGGATCTCTTTCTTTGTTCAATCCGAGAAACGATGGCTGATCACTGCTCCTATCCTACGATCCGTCGGCCGCAATGACGATCTCGACGATCTTCGTGATATCGTGGTGGGTGAGCAGCAGGTCCGAGGCTAGCCCATCCTTTGGCGCGTTGGAAGGCATCTTGGCACTCGGCAGACCATTTGAACGACGCATCCTTCTTCAGAAGAGCATCCAGTGGTGCACGAAATTGTTGCATTCCTAAGAGGGATCGCTCTTATAAATGCCGTTTCCCGTGGGGGCAAGAACCTCGATCTCGCCGGGATCGGTGGTCGGTGTCCGACTGAATTGATGGCGAACTCAGGTATCGCAAATTGATGGCGACTCAGGTATCGCATTAGAGGCATCAGGAAATTATCATGTTTGTCATGTTCCCTTTAATTGTACACCGGCTAAGTTTCAAAGCTGCAGTCTTTGAACATTCGGGATCAGTTCATATAAAATGCAGTCAAACCTGCAGAATGTGCAGACTATGCCCCCCCCTTTCATTCGTGGCAGGTTTGATTCGGACTGTCAGAGAGAGAGCAACCATTTAATGTACTGATTCCGATGTTCAAAGATTTCACCTTTGAAACGTAGCAGGGTCTTCAATCAGGGAACATTGACAAACCTGATAATTTGCCTGTGTTGAGGGCCGGCCTGCGAATGACGGGCGCGCAGCGCCCGCGCAGCGCCCCGCAGTCCTGGCCCACCTCACACAACTTTCGAAGGACACTGAACTAGCCCTCAACTAGTATTGAAGATTTCTGATGCTCCGACGATTTTGTTTTGGGATTGTTTTCTTACTTGTGTGTTGTGGTGTTGTTTAGTCATATTTCTCATGCCACTTTTTAGCTCGGATGCAGCTCTTATTGACTTACATTGTGGCACACCTACAGTCCTCATCATTGCGGACCGGTGGGGCGTGTCAGCCAGTATGAGTGTGCACACTGTTGAAGCCGTTCTCAGCCTTTTTGTTGAAACGCGTATGCGACAAAAAGTGGTAGAAACGAGTAATACGGAGGATATAATAAGTCATATGTCACTTGGCCCGCTTTCAACAAACTGGTCCAGAACCGACTTTGGCCCGCGCCAAACGCAGCCGCAACTCAATCCGCCCGGACCTGTACGTAATGTATGAGGATGTATCTCATGCGTCGCCGAAATAACATAAAATTGTAACTGGGGCTATATAGAGATCACTCTTTCTCTATGCAAGGTACATAATTCCTGAGCAGCGCAGGTTTCAGTTCAATTTAGAGGAAAACTTGTAAATCCATCAAGCGTATAGAACTGCCTATACACTAAAATGTGCCGTAGTAAGCCGACCAGAATCTTCTTTATATGACTCTTAACTCTAAGGATTGTTGGAACTTCCAGTTCGAACTCACAAAAACAGTTTAAAATCGAAGAGGACTTCTAGGAACGTGTGCAAGAACATTACATTTTGTGCTGCCTAACTAACTTCTACTTCAGGTCTCGAGTTTATTCAACAAAACAACGGTTCGGAACATGATGGAGCTGTTTCTTTTTAATGTGTAAGCGGCTGGTCGGAAGAACATATTAGTCGCCGTCAGCAATATAATCAACATGCTCAGTGCAGTGGCTCCTGCAAAGGTAATACAAATCCTTATTGTAATTTCTCAAGTTAACATGGGAGATTTTGTCTTTTTTTCTCAATCAATCAAACTTATGCTGAGCTCTCACCGGAAGAACTTTTCTTGAGTTTTCTTCCCTCAGAACTCTTGTCCTGGTTGATCGGATAATTGTTTTTCTCGGTGTTCAGTTTGACTGGGGCCGGTGGGGAGCTCGTGTCAGTGTCAGTTGGAGAAAGATTATGTTCCCCATATCAACGTTGATCGGGGTTGGTGGAGCTAACCAATTCCTGATGATTTCTTCAACCTTGTTGCGAGTATCAGTGAGTTCTTTTGGATCTTCTTTCCGAGCTGGGTACATATCCGCGCAGTGTGCTGTTCCTGAAATGGTGACACTTATGCTGTTTTAGAGTGTTTAATACGCCGAAATAGCAAAATAGCATTGAAATGAACTGCAGGAGTGAACATTACCGAGGTAATGTCAGGTTTCGATTCACCAGATATTTTGTAACGCTAGGTAGAAGATGCAAGTGGTAAGATAAGATTGAAAATGGTCTGGATATTGACGGTGGAGGACTGGTTGAACTAATAGCTCAAATTTGTCGAAGGCTCTAGTGATTCTGAGTGGGAGCCACATTTATGTTCTTTTCCTAATAGATTGATGAAGTCAGTAACTTTTTTTCCGAGTTCTTTCTCCTGAGCTGTTCGAAATATCTTCGCCAGTTGGAGTAACCACCCCCTTTGCGCAAAGAAATGCCCTATTCAGCAGACTAGAGTGTCACTCGGAACAGACGTGATAAGATAGTGGCGTCGAATTGGCGCCAGAAACGGATGCTATAACCGTAACAAGGGCGTCAAGTATATCCATCATACAAGTTTGACAAAGTGATTGCGGCAACGACGCTATTTGGCCCCTACTGGCGCCGAATAGCGCCGTCTCCGGGAGCGAATGTCGTTGTTTTCGTCAATGGCGTGAGTACCAACCCGTTAAGCAAGCTTCAGCAAGAAAGTAATTTGTTTGAGGCTCCTAGTGTAGTAATAGTCGGTTTATTTGATTCAAAATGTCTTACGGGGAGCGAAACATTTTTTGCTTATTCCTGTGGGACATTTACCTGTCATCAGGGAACATAAAAAGAATGACATCTACAAAAGAATATATTTTTAAAAGCATGGTCAGCGATTGTCTCAAATTTGATAGCCATACTCGTGGCAACCTAGACGGAACCGTGCAAGCAGCGAGGATTCACTCTAGCGCGTAATAAGCTTGGTGCAGGGTTGTGGTGGAGGCCGATCAACGCCTACCCTCGATCGAGGACGTTTACAACAAAATACGCATTGCATGAACAACCTCGCGTATCTGTGTACTTTCGACACTATCGTCTATCGGCCTCTCACCGTACGCTCAGTGTTTCTTCGCTTTACGCTCACCAGTATGGTCGAAAATATTTGAAAAAGGAGGCCAGTAGCGGCAGGACAACCTATTCTTTGTCTCCTTCCTCACTAAAGGGTCACTGAATACCCTGTAACCCCATGATTCCACGATCGAACACCTCATCCCCATTCCTACGATGATAGAACTCGCCCATTTTCTTGGCATGCCTTGCGCTATTCGTAGAGTTGTCTGTCGTTCAGCTGAAGGCACGATTCCTGACTTTTCAATGGCGTTGTGCTATAGAAAAAGTGTTCTTTGGTCAAAGTTTCCTTCTTTGGTCAAAGTTCCACATCTGGTAATCGGGTGAGTGGAAATGCTGCAAGTAAAAAAAAAAACGCTAGTTAGACTTTTATAGAGCGGGAATAGGACTCCATCTGAGCTATCCTACCTGTATCAGACTTACTGGTGGGAATAAGGGGACTAGCCTCTTCCAAACTAAAGGAAGTTATTAGCCTCTTCCAGTCTATGTTCTACTTGAACGCGTACTGAGCAAGTCCTCTTGTTCCACTCACCTTTGATTACAAAGCAGTTTCTAGAGGAGTCACAGGTTTCGTTGCCGAGAGCATGCCACGGATCAAGAGAGCCATGCGTCATCACTACATTCTCTGCCTGAAAACTCACACCGTCTTTTCTTCTCTTAAACTCATTCCCATAAAAATTCAGCCTCAGTGCCGAAGAGCGTTGTTGTAAAGGTTAAACAGTGCCAACAGACGATCGTTTGTCACCTCATATTTATGGCGACCACCGTAATGATGATTCGTCTTCAACACACTTTGTTGATTCTCGACTGCTGAGTAGCGGTCAGGGAAAAATTCTGAGCATGTGCGCGTGAAAAAGCTGAAAAAGTAGTTTTATTTTGAGTATGAATGCTTTCTATGAGGTGTAATGGACTACAAATCATAAAGTGGCGCTGCAGTGATTTTTGCACCGAAATTTGTGCACAGTCTGGAACAGTATGTCTATCGATGAACCCTTTCAGTCTTGTTTCGGATTTGGATCGTGTTCAAGAACAGTTTTTCGAGCATAGGGAAACGCTCCAGGTCTTTGAGAATCGCTCTCGCTCCCTATTTCTTTTGTGTGAACTGCTTACTCACTTTAATGGCAACGGGCTGCCGAAAATGTTGTGGCCGGAGTCGGTCGACTGGAAGAAGCCGAATTCGAAACATGTTTGATACATCCAGAGATACGCACTTTGATCTGAGTTTAGAGATTGACTCTATTGATGTTAACAAACCAACATACCTACTAGGTTCGCAGTTATAGTTTTATTCCATAAAAACTTCTGGACTTGTAAAAAAACCTAAAAATGAAATTGGATGGATTAGTCAATTAATGAGACATTAAAGAGTACCCTTTGGTGGGAACATTCCATTTTCTAAATTTATCTCTACGAAGTTCGCTGCTTTTATCTCTCCTCACTGATGAACACAGGAAAAGGATATCTTTGGCTGTTTAGATTCCCTCTGAGAGCATGTGCGAGACGGAAAGCAAGCTCTAAGCCATAAGCATTGTTTTCGGGCTATACTGAAAGTGAGAGAAAATCTCAGTTCCGTAAGGTCGGAGTTGAAATTCCTCACAAGGTTTCGCGTTGTTGCGCCGTAGTAAGATTCGTAAACCGCTTTACAGTAAAACCTCATGTTTTGCAATATTCTTCTTCTCCGATAGCAGGGTTCCTATTAGTGACTGTGGGATACTAGTGTTTTGTTGGAGATTGATGCAGTGGATGACGCCCAACCAATCCCACTCAAGGGACAGCAACGCCAACACGAAGTAGTGTCTCTGCCTG